AAGGAAATTTGGGGTGTTTGTGAGAGGGGGGAGGGTAGGCATTTAAGATTAGCTGAATGGATTTACTTAATGTGAGGTAGGAAAGTTAAAGAAGTTAGAAAGGGGGCCAGCAGATGATGTAATGGTTATGTCCCTGGACTCCCACCTAGGTGACACCTGACCCAGTGGCTTAAAACTCACAACCGGCACCTTTCCAAGGAGAATGCGTGACCATCTCCCCTCGGGGGTGACTTCTTGCTTTCTGGCTCTCTGGCTAACACACATGCCCTATAGCAAAAATCTCAAAAAGAAAAAAAAAAACCAAGTTAGATGTCTGGACATCTATGACAGAAGCCAAAAATGTCAAAGAGGTTAAGAATACGGCTTCTGGGCCAGCTAGTCCTGACATGGTGATGGATCCCACATGGCCAACTGTGCATTTAGAGTCCTGGTACTGGTGGTGCATTTGCAAGCATGCCCAAAATCCAGAGAGGATGACAGAGAAGAGATGTTGGAGTGGCCATCCCCACTGGGTGGTGCTTCCCCACTACCACACACACACACACACAAAAAAAAGTTTTCCACAAAGAATTCAAGAGAAAGGGGAGAAGAGAACAAAAAGGCACACTGTAAAGGTGTGTTCATTTAAGTAGAGAATAAAGAGAATTCTAGATCAGTATTCTCTAAATTTTTGTTTTCACAGACTTCAAAAAGAGAGGGAGACGAAGACAGGTCATGGCTTCAACCTGGCTTTGTAATTCCAACAAAAACAAACACACAAAAACACCTTAACTTTATTACCACCCTCACCTGAAATAGAAAACTGCCTAACACTTTATTTTTTTGCTAAAGGGCCTGTGCACTCACTGAGAGAGAGAGACAGTGAGAGGGAAAGTGAAAAATCACCCCCATGGGGATGGCCAGCTACAATTTCTTCTCCTTCAGTCTTCTCTTGGGATTTAGGCATGCACACGAATGTGCCCAGTGTGATTTTCAACCTACCATGTCTGCGACTAGGACTCAAACCACACAGGCTATGTAGGATCCCAGCTGCCTTAATCTCCATACTACCCGCTGGCCCAGAATATAAACTCTTAGACTACCTTTTCTATGTATTAACTATGTCATATTCTTATAGTTGGCAAACAACCATCTTCCATATACCAGAAGTACATTTATTGCATACAAACTGCAGAGAAAAATACAAGGAAATATTTGCAACATACATAAATAAACTAGTCCTGGCAATCACAGAGGCTCAAAAAAACTTGGTTGAAATGTATTCAAGTGGTGTGTGACACATAATGCTAGACAAAGAATTACAAGTCAGGGGGCCAGTAGGTGGTGATGTAGTAAAGGACACCAAACTCCCACAAGGCTGACTGCAGTTTGAGTCCCAGATCTGGCAGCTTGCTTTCTCACTTCCCCTCTTTTTTTCTCTGATCAAATTAGCATAGTAATAATAATGATAATAAAGTTAAATAATTATTTTTAAAAAAAGAATTACAGGGAACCAGCAGTTAGCGTAATGGCTATGTCACTGGACTCCCGCGTAGTCGACCGCGGTTCGCATCCTGGACCCGGTGGCTTAAAACTCACGCCGGGCGCATGTGCATGCGTGCCCAAGATCCCAAGAGGAGAATGGAGGAAAAGGGATTGCGGCGTGACCATATCCCTGGGGGGTGATTTCTCGCTTTCTGTCTCTATGTCTCTCTCCGTCGGGCGTGCGTACGTGCCCTGTAGCAAAAACCTCTCAAAAAAAAACAAAAAAAAAAACAAAAAAAGAATTACAAGTCAGCTTCCATTTCTATTAAAAAAAAAAAAAAAGCTAAGATAGTACAACAGAGGAGTTACAAGAAGATTAATAAGACCACAGGCTTTGAAATCAGACCTGGGTTCAAATCTCAACTACACTACTGAATGACCTTGGGAAAATTATTTAACCTATCTAAATCTGTTTCCTCATCTGCAAAATAGGAATGCCCATCTTACTAGGTTATAGTGATGACTGGTGGCAGTTGTAATTTTTAAATAATACTTAGAATAACTGAAACCCCATGGACAGCCTATTTTATCAAGCCCTTAACAGAATCAATCAACATCCCTGGAGGTTAAGACAGAGGCCTGCATATTTTTAAAAGTTCCAGGAAGTGATCCTGACTAGAACTCCTGTTTAGAAACTACTGTCCTAGATCTTTACTGACAATGCTTACTTGAGTTCACAGTAAGAAAGTACCACAAAGATAAGTTTTAAGACATGATCCACATTTATAAGACAAGTCTTTACCCTTAATTCTTTTTACAAACAAAAGAATCATACTGCAAGTTCCTTTTGTAGTATTTTTTCCAAAGCCAGGGGAAAAAATAATTCCATATTAATCATTTACATAAAAATCAGGTATATCTTGGGATCAAGTGGTGTAGTGGTTGACGTGCTGGACTCCTACAGGGCCAACCTTGGTTGGAAGTCCTGGACCAGGTGGTGCCTTGAAAATCACGCCAGGGGGACCAGCAGTTAGCGTAATGGATATGGTGCTGGACTCCCATGCAGTCGACTGCGGTTCGCGTCCCGGACCCGGTGGCTTAAACTCACGCCAGGCGCGTGTGCGTGCGTGCCCAAGATCCCAAGAGGAGAATGGAGAAGGGATTGCGGCGTGGCCATCCCCCCTGGGGGGTGATTTCTCGCTTTCTGTCTCTCTGTCTCTCTCTGTCTGGCGAGCGCTCACGCCCTATAGCAAACAAAAAAAAAAAAAAAGAAAGAAAAGAAAATCATGCCAGGCATATGTGTGGTGTGTGTGTGTGTGTGTGTGTGTGTGTGTGTGTGCGTGCACAGACCCAAAGTCCCAAGAAGAGAAGAGATAACAGCATCCCCATCCTCCCTGGAGGGTGATTTCACACTTTCCCTCTCACCATGGCAGCACACATGCCCTACGGCAAAAACCCTGGGGGAAAAAAAATCAGGTATAACTTAACCTTTTCTCTTGCTACTTTAAAAATAGGTACATTGACAGTGCACCAAAGGCTGTATACAATAATTACATCTAAGTTTTCTTATTCCTATGTTGTCTTTCTTAAAAAATTAGCTTAAGTTTACAGATAAAACCCACTGATGGTTCAGTAAAATCTTCCCATTTTACTCAACAAATATTAATATATTTTAAGTATACATCTCACAATCTTACTAAAGCCTAAAGATACAAAACTGCACCTCTATTAACTAACACAAGTAAAATATATACTAGCGGCTGCCAGGCAGCATGGTGGTTGGGTCGCTGGACTCCCCCATGGCTGACATGGGTTCAAGTCCCAAACCCGGCAGCTTGCTTTCTCATTTTGCCTTCCTCTCTCTGGTCAAATTAAAACATAAATAACAACAACAAGTAAAATAAAATTTAAAAACACACGTTTTAAAAAAAGAGGAAATATACTACACTAAAAAGAAAAAAAAGCACACATAAATACAACTATCCAACATTTTATTCCAAAAGAATCAGCATGAAACCATGAAAATCTCTGAAAAAAAACTAAGAGTCTAGAAACTCTGAGGGTCTTCTTCAAAACCAGCAACAAACAAAAATTTAGAAGAGCTGTTTCAAACTATTGTTGACTGCAGATCAACTGAAAGCAAGCAAACCAAAGGAATCTTCCTTAAAGGACTTTTCTGCTGCTGTAAAGGAGAGGGATGGAAGGAGAACTAGGCTTTATTATTGTATAGGTTCAATTAACTAGACACAAGTTAAGGCGTTTTTTCAGCTACTTACATTAGTGAAGCTTTTAACTTACAAATGTTAATAAAAAATGTTAAAATCCAAACTTGTGCTTAACAGTACAAAGGTTAAAAAAATAATCAGAAACCAGCTAAGTATTTTTTAGTGAGTCCAGGCCTCAACTAATTTGTCAATGATTTAAAATGAATATTTCATTAATTTCACTCTATTCATATAGAAAATTAAGTTTGCAGCAAAGTTGTCTACCAATAGAATTCTATAAATCTGAAGTATTTTAAAGCACATTACAGAGTTGCAAGAAACCCCAACTGTGACTTAAGTTTTTGAAAACTGTTTTTTGTTTAAGCCCAAAGTATATCAAAATGCAATTCTAAAACATTAATTGACTAACAGGTGTTAACTTACAATTTTATTTTTAAATCTTGAATCAAATGTGTCAACATACGTGCATTTTTACTTTTTAGACGTTTAACTTCACCACTTTGTGGATTCAAATAGTTTACTACTTCAAAATCAAACTGAGCAGATCCGTATATGTGTGAGGATATCCTTTCTAAATTAATCCAATCTTCCTCCTTTCAACAGTACATTTCCCTAACTATTCACCACAGGCATATATGACATCAAACAATACTGCTTATATCCTAAATATATAACAGTGTGAAGAACAGGTGCAACGCTATTTAGATGCATGCTTTTTTCTTCTACGCCTAAATTTGCCATGGAAATGGATTCAAAAAAAAAACAATACCAAAAAGTTAAATAATCCTTTCAAAAAAGATGTAGCAACTTTGAAAACCAAGACAGGAGCCCTGAACTACTATCTTCCAAAAGTTAGGTAATGCAGTCTATGGAAGATTCACTTTAAAAGGAAAGAGGCAAGCTCAATTAGGAAGGGTCCTAAGGGTATTTAACTTTGCTTCGGCCGGAGTTAGTAACAGGAGACAAGTACGTTTTACTTCAAGTCAAATCTTTTCTCAATTGTTTCATAAATACGGCACAATCTGGTTCGGCCTTTTGGGGATTAAAGACCGGAATGGGGGAGCAGGCGGTCTAGTGAAGAGTACGCTTAATAAGAACAAGTGTCGAAAGGTTGACAAGTCACTCATCAGGGAAGAACTACAGGGAATCCAAGTGAGGCAGCATCCCAGGAAAGAAGGTACTTAGAGTTGAGGATAGGAAACGAAAACTTCACAGGTCAGCCACCAGCCATTGTGCTACTTGGTAGCAGCCCTGGAGAGAAGCGTGGCTGTCAAGGGGCAAGTGCGTACCAAGTCGGGGGGAGGGGGCCAGACATGCCAAATCGGAAAGGAGGGGTGGTCGGAAAAAGGTGGGAAGACGCCCATCCTAATTCTTCTCCTCCAGCTCTCCTTCTCACCAGGAAAAGACTAGAGCAAACTTGGCGCCCAACAACCCCAGACCGGACTCTCCCACAGAGAGGAGCTGGGCCCCGGGCCCGGGCGTCCCGGGAAGGCCGCCTCCAGAGGAGCCCCCGCAGACGCCATACTAAAAGCCAAAATGGCTGCCCCGAGGAAGCCCGCACCGTAGCTAGTGAGGGTTGGGGAACCGGCTTCTGCGGGAAAGGGGGAGGGAGACTCTAGGAAGAGTCGTCGCCAGGACTCTCGCCCCCGAGCTGCACAGGTAGGTTCCTCTCGGCCTCCCAAGGCGCCGGCTCCGGGAGGGGAGACCCGGCCCCACCCCCCCGGCCGGGATCCCCGCCGCCGCCGTCCGGCACCCCGACCCCGGCGAGGTACCTGTAGTTCGGCCCGCTCCACCTCCCAGTGCGCCCGCTCCATCTCGAACCGAGCCCACTCGTGCTGGATGTAGTGCAGAATCCCCGGAATAGTGTACTGCTGCGGCCGGGACAGCTCCGGGCCTGTCGCGGGACCCGCTCCCTCGGAGGCCCAAGGGCCACCGCCTCCCACCGCTCCATTCCCCGTGGCCCCCAGGTCCCTGCTGCTGCCGGGGAGGGGCCGCCATCCCCGGACCGCCGCCACCGCCTCCGGCAAGCTCGTCCATTGTGTGTGGGGCCCCGACCGGGGCGCAGGGCGAGACGCCGACAGCTGGGGGAAGGGCCAGGGAGGGTGGCCCAGCGCTGGCGGCGGGGCAGAGGCCGGCCAGGAGAGGGACGGGGAGGGGGTCGTCTCTGTGTGCCTGCCGTGGGTCAGAGGGGGGGGCTGCCGGCCGCCGCCATTACCGTCCCTCCTCCATCTGCCCGTCTCACTGACTCTCACTTTAGGGAAGGGGGGGCGCGACGGGAGGGGAGAGTGGGCCGGGTTGGGAAGGGGGTAGACGTAGGGCCGTCGCTGCCGCACGGCGTGCTGGGTAGAGAACGCCGCTGCCGCCGCACGCCTGATAGCCAAATAGAGTCCGGCCTCTCCGTGCGCAGGCGCACTGCCGACGCAGTCAGTGTCGCCGTTGGGGCGGGGACGGGGCTGGGCGCTCCCTCTGGCCGGCTCCCGGTGTCTGGCGGCGGTTTCCCGGCACTGGTCTTCTGACTGCAAATCAGAGTCAGCCTCTGACTTGCAGGTTATCGCTGTCCTTCGCGACGACAGTCCCCAGGTGCCATTTCCCACCCGAGAGTGTCAGCTCGGTGCCTGCCTGCGAAGCTGGGTTTTAACCTGGCTGGTGGCTCTAGCCGGCTGCTCCAGGTCCTGGATTCCTGACGTTTCTTTTGCATTCCTTGCGTGTTTCAGGCAGTCCCAAAGGGTCGGGCGTCCTTCCTTCCTGCTACTCGCTCTAGATTTGGTTTTTCAGCACCAGTCAGTCCCGGGATTTGGGGGACGTTCTCTTGGCAGAGAGCCTGGACCTTCTGGACGTGGTGACTGATTCTAGGAGTCCGTCTTGAACCTGAGCTTTGGTCCCACTTCTGTACGCCGGGTCGCCTGTCATAACTTGTTCCACTTTACCTCTCCTATTCTGGGTTGAGGCGGGGGTGTTAGCAGAGGAGCAAGAGCAAGTGTTTTCATTATTTTTTCGTGAGATCTTTACATCTTAACCATGGTGGGTAGAGAGGAAAAGATAGCATGGAAGGAGAGTGGTTGAAATAACGTGACATTTTATAAGTGAATGAGCTCTCATATTGTGAATGACAGGATATTTGGATCACAATAGAAAATAGAAGTATTGTGGGTACAAGTCTAAAACCTAAATAAATGACTGAACATGTTTTTCCTGAGTTATTTTATGTCATTTGGAAAAATAAACATAAGAGACAAGGTTAAGCTTATTTTTTGTTGTTGTTAGTGTGTCCATATTATTATTTTTAGAGTTTGATTCTGCTGGATGATTCAAAAGAGGAGGAACATGCACTTGTATTTCCTCTGGTGCCTTAAACTCAAGGAAAAATTGAATTTATAGTTCCTTTTTCTTCCCCATAATCCTCAAAAAAAAAAAAAAAAAAAAGAAAAAGAAAAGAAAACTATTTCACTTACATTACCTATCATTTAGTGGCACTATATCCACAGGGATCTAGTACCTTTTACTATGCCCCTACATCCCATTGCCTTTCTCAGTACAATAACATCTTATCTACCCCTTTGTCTTCATTCATGCCTTCGCTTAAGCCCTACCACCTGTATTCTTCTCTCACTTCCCACTATAACTCGCCTGAGTGATCTTCCTAAAAGGCACATCTAATGCTGTTATTTCTCTGCTTAAAAGATTTTTAGTTAGAACTAGCAGATGGAGGAGCCGTTATGTCACTGGACTCCCACTTAGTCCACGGCCTTTCAGTTATGTGACCTTGCGGCTTAAAACTCAAACTGCGTCTGTCTCTGTCTGGCGAGCACACACGCCCTATAGCAAAAACCTCTAAAAAAAAACAAAAACAAAAAAAACCCTCAAACTGTGTGTAGGTGGGTTCCCAAAATCCCTAGTAGGAAAGAATAGAGGAGAGGGATTGTGGTGCAGATATTCCCCTTGAGGGGTGATTTCTCATTTTCTGTCTCTGTATCCAGCTACCACACATGCCCTATAGCAAAAAATCTCTCTTAAAAAATATTTTTAATTATCTCTAAATGTATTAGACTAAAGCCCAAACTTATACTTACCTGGCCAGGGAGGAACTGTGGCTTTCCTAGGGTGAGGCTCATCCATTGCACTCAGATGTGCTGACGCTTCCGATTTCCCCAAATGCAGGAAACTCAACTGCATAATTTTTGGTAGGGGGGGACTGTGTTTGTTCCAGCTTTCTCCTGGTATTTATTAAGAAAGAAAGGGGGGAAAAAAGAATAAGGCCCAAATTTTAGCATAGGTAAAGATCCTTCAAATTCTAGAACCCTCCCATCACCTAATCTACAGTCATACTATCATGCCACCTGTTCTTTTTTTATTTTTATTTTTTTCCCGAGGGTGCATGCCACTATCAGGAGAGAGACAGAGGAAAAGTAAGAAATCATCCCCCAAGAGAGATGGCCCCCAACACCACCACCACCCCTCAATCCCTTCTCCTCCATTCTCGTCTTTGGATTTTTGGCACATGCACAAGCCTGGAGTGATTTTCAAGCCGCCAGGTCTGGGACTCTTAACAGAGCCTGGCCATGTGGGAGTCCGGCATGTTAACCATACTACCTTCTTTTCAGCCCATCTGTACTGCTTTTGTTTTCTCAAATGTATAATCCTCTTTCTTCCTATGGTAATTTAGCACATGCTATATACTGGGTCATCGGGAAAGTCATGACACATTTTTGCATAGAAAAACATGTCATGACGTCCCTGACAACCTAATATGTTGCTTTTCCCTTCTTCCTTCAAACTCAGCTCAAGCATTACTTTCTCCAAGAAGTTTTCCAGATCCCTGGCTTATCTAGTGCCCCTATTCTAGGCTAGTAGCATCCCATGCTTATCTCCTTAATACTTATTACACTATTATTTAAATCATTTATGTATGGGCAGTCAAGAACACCAATATTTTCCCTTCTTTGGGGATAATGTGTTATGGACCTGTGCTGTGTCCACGACTCCTGAAGACACTGCAGCAAGCTTCTAAAATCTTGTCTCTGTAGATGAGCTCTCCGAAGCCACATCACCACCTATAACTCATCCAACTGGAACTCCCTCCCTAACCTGCAGCTGAGTCATTTCCTGTCTTCTGTCTCACCTTTGAAACTTTCTAATTGTTCTGTGTTGTCACAAATCCTGTTCTTCCACTACTACTCCATGTCCATAGAGTCTCCCAGTTTCAGGCTACTGCTGGTGGTCTTTAAGAGTGCCTATTTAGGGGCCAGCAGGTGGTGTGGTGGTTGGGGGAGCTGGAGTCCCACACAATTTGAGTCTCAGACTTGACAACTTGCTTTCTCACTTTCCCTTTCTTGCTCTCTCTGTGAGTGTATATGTCTCTCTCTCACTCTTAAAATAAATCAATAAAGTTTAATAAAATAATTATTTTTTAAAAAAGAGTGCCTATTTATTATATCTTTGATTAGTATAAAATTTTAGGGTTGTTTTTTTTTCCCCATTAGCTAATCTTTGACACCTGTATGCTTATTCTATTTTTGACCAGATGGACTCCTCACACTTATATGTATATGTCATGTCAGCAAAGTTATGTTAAGGAATTCCAGGGGGTTCTTTTTTGGGGGGGGGTTAAATAATTATTTTATTTAACTTTTTTTTTGGGGGGGGGTTTAAATAATTATTTTATTTAACTTTATTTATTTTAATTTGACCAGAGAGGGACAGAGAGAGTGAGAAAGCAAACTGCCAGGTCCAGGACTTGATCCACTGTTGGCCATGTGGGAGTCCAGCACCTTTAACCACCATGCCACTTGCTGGCCCTTTTTTTTTAAGAGAAATTTTTGCTTTAGGGCACAGATGCTTGTGTAGAGACAGAGAGACAGAAAGCGAGAAATCATCCTCCAGGGTGCATGGTCATGCTGCAGTCCCTTCTCCTCCATTCTCCTCTCAGGATTTTGGACACACATGCACATGCGCCTGACATGAGTTCCAAGTCGCCAGGTCTAGAACTCCAACCACAGCCAACTATGTGGGATTCCAGCAACATAACCATTACACCATCTGCTGGTACCAGGAATTCCAGGTTTTAAAATAAGTCAGGAATAGATGCCTTCTTATTAATTATTCCAATACCGATGCATGAAAATTTTTGTCCCTGCCTGTGAGAACTGTTATATAGTTTCCTTTCTGTAATTATGTACCTGAAGGATAGCTTTCTAGATTGCTGATGATGTACCTGAAATCCTTCTACCAAAGGCTCACAATAGCTCACAAATGCTAATCTAGTCTTTTTGGCATCATCTGGAAAAGTTGTGACAAGTATTCTTATCTCTCTGGGTGAAATGAAAGCTGAGATAAAAGCTTTGTCACTTCGGTGAGTACTAAGAGTAGGAAGTGGTTCCCAGTCTTACATCAGTGAGTGTGTATATCTAGAAACAAGAAATAAAGTCTCCCTTCACTATTCTGCCTCCTACTGACCTATCAATGGGCTTAGTATTTCTGTTTTTGGTTCCCAACTCATTTGCATATTTGAAATTATTTGTAGGTAGTTCCAGGATGATTCAGTCACTCAGAGAAATGATATAAAAAGCCACATATTAGAATCCAAACAAAGGTCTTTGAGAAAATCTTCAAAATCCAAAGGAGTGGGGTTGGCAGGTGGTGTGGGGGTTAAGGTTGCTGGATTCCCACATGGCCCACTGTAGTTTGAGTCCTGAACCTGCTGCCTTGCTTTCTCACTTTTCCTCTCTTTCTCTCTCACTCTATCCCTCTCTAGTCAAATTAAATAAATGCATACATACATACATACATACATAAAGCTAAATTAAAATAAAAATCCAAAGAAGCAAGCTGTATCATGCATTTTGAATAGAAAAGGAGGAAACAGCTTTGACCTGTACCAAAGTTTAAACTGCCAAATAAGATCAGATATCCACTTCTCATTAAAGTAATTGATCGTGGCTAATAGAACTGTAGAAATA